AATGTAATAGCTTGTGACGCCTATTACGCTCGCCTAGGTACAGAACCTTAGATTTGATATCGGAAAGAGGTAAATTCCATTCTCCGACCACTGCACAACAATATCTAAGGCAGATTGGAGTACTTTAGCATCGCCCTCGTTTGTGACAGCATGATAAAGCTTAAGATCGTCCGCGAAAGCACAAACTCCAACATTACTCTGCTCGAGGACAGACATAAGGTCGTGCATGTAAATGTTAAACAAAATGGGGGAAAGAACCCCACCCTGTGGGACCCCGCTGTAGGCTAACCTAGGGAAAGAAAAGGAAGAATTTATGCGAACAGAAAATTGTCGCCCGGTGAGAAAAGCACCGATCCACGCTACGATACGCGGATGTATTCCAACCATGCTCATTTTGAGCAATAATTTTTCATGCGGAACCCTATCGAAAGCTTTACAAAAGTCGATATAAATCACATCCACTGTCTTCCCTTCATCCAAGCACTTTGTCCAATGATTGAGCGACTGAATCATGGCAGTGACAGTCGATCTCCCTTTATGAAAACCATGCTGATTAGATGATATGACACCATATTTTTCCAGATGGTCTAGAATACGCTTTTTCAAAATTTTCTCAAAAAGCCTTGAAAAAGTGACGTTATGCTGACAGGCCTGAAATTTTGTGGCACGTTGTGCGGAGGCTTTTTCGGGATAGGCGTTATGAAGGATTGCAACCATCGACGTGGAACTTCTGCATTCATAAAGCTCAGGTTGAAAATATACTCCAGGGGAGCACTTATAAGATGGGAAACCTTTTTAATAAAGTGGAGCGGTATAAAATCAGGTGTAAGAGAATTTGATTGTGGCCATTTGAGGAGTAGCTCGAGAATTTCCTCACGATGGAACCACACCGAGTCATCCATAGTAGGGAACCTCTTTTCCAATGACAATGCACATCGTTCCTCATCAGGAGGGCAAAAGTTTTCTTGGAAAGTAGATGCCATCAGCTCGGCTTTGTCTCTATCTTCAAACACAGAAGTACCATTAGCAGAAAGAAGAGCAGAAACTTTTGGTTTCTGTTTCAACCTCGACTTTAGGAGCTTGTAGAAAGAATACTTGCTTCCCGAGTCATGATCCTTCTCTCTACAGATACATAAAACTTCTTTAACTTTTTGTCCAACTTCTTGTTCAAATATTCAAACGACAATTCGTCCAATGGATCCTTAGTAGTTTGAGCCTTACTCCATGCCTGCTCCCGCCTATGCGACAAGTTAAGAAGGTACTGGGGTAAATTGGAATTGTGCAACGGTTTCGCTTTAATGGGAACAAGAAAGCTCAATGGTGTGCAAAAGAATTTATTTATTTATTTATTTATTTGCGTACATGGACGCGCTCCTGCCATCTAGCAGGAGGGTACCTTGGGCAGGCCAATTGAGAGGTTGCTAGTAACCAAACATAAACAAGTAGGGAGGAAAAAAATCTCAACAACGAAAAATAAAACAACTAGCAAAAGAGAGACAGCACCGAACCGATAAGGCATAAAATGATCTGCGACTGGAAGATGAAGGCAGAGACAAGGAGGAAGGAGTGAAAAAGGAACTTACCAGTCAAGCGATGGTATGGCGCGAGGTTAGCAGGAGATCAGAATGCTCAGGAAAAGTTCGTAGTTAGCATCAACCGAATTTCCAGAATTTAGGGAACCTAACCAGTCCACGTTGGCCAAATGGCGTTCTATATTTTCATAGTTAGCCGCGGAAAAAAAAAAAAAAAAAAAAAAAAAAAAAAAATGAAAAAAAAAAAAAAAAAATCTCTTCTGAATGTCATATATTCCCTTGGCATTTGTAAATTAATGTAGAAGGCAACAGAAGAGTGATCACTTGAACCAAGTGGAGATCGAACGTCGAGTGCAGTAATCAAGTTCTCATCATTGGACAAAACCAAGTCTAGAATATTGCCACGGAGCGTTCCCGTGTTAACATATTGCTTTAATGCATGATTACCGCACATATCCAGAAAGAACTGACCGCTATGGGTGAGCCGAGCTGTCGGAGCTTTGCTTTGAAAGTTCCAGTTTATACACGGAAGATTGAAGTCCCCAACAACTACCGAGGGATGTTCACAAGAAACCAAATCACTGATAGCTTTAGTCAGTTGATCTGATTGTGTAGCTGGACAGTCAGGTGTCCTGTAAACCACAATGAGAAGTACTCTACGGAGACTCACACACAAGTCACAACACAAGATTTCGTAAGTCTTCGGAACAGATTCTGAGAGAATAGTGACTGGAGAGAATGTACTCTTAGCTATCAGAAGAACTCCTCCACCTCGTTTTGAAAAGCGATCGCATCGTGTTACGCAGTAAGGCGAAAGGTCTGCGCGAATGACTGAATTTATGTCAATTGTTGTATTAAGCCACGTCTCGGTTAGAGCAAGCAGATGAGGGCTCTCTTGTTTGAGGAGCAATGAAAGTGCTTCCGAGTTTTTGATTACCGATCTCACGTTTGCTACGATACAAAAAATGCTTGATTCTGAGTTCCTTGGACCCTTTACATGTTTAAATTACCAACGTAATGATCTCTGGTAACAGAAGCATTAGATACTGGACATTGACTCTGAGCGAAAACATCAGCGTTTGCAGAAGGAGATTCGAGCCGTATATTTTGAGCATGAGTGGAATTAGAAACCTGAGAAGCTAAGCGAGACAGCCTTTCGGCTTTTAAACGTTCACGTTCTATTTTGGACAATGAAGGTCTTACAAAAATCCTTTTTCTTGAAAATATCTCAATAGATGTGCTCTTTTGACTAACAACGAAGCAAAATAAGATGCCGGGAAAACAAAATGAGTACATCGAAGCCAGCTCCAGAGATTCTCTGGGCGAAAGGGTTTGAAGGAGGATTTGGAAGGTCTTTCAGGGGGGGGGGCAAGCTTTTTGAAAACGGTCTTTTGCATGATATAGGGGCACATGCGGGAACCACAGAACCATGGTTAATTTTTCCTGAACGGCCCTCTGAATACCAGAAAAGGGGGTCCCTAGTTCGATTCCTCGTGGTGACAAATTTTTGCATTTCGAGTTGACGTTTCAAAATTCGCGCAAAATGGAGTTAGCATGAATAATTAGTACCATATTCATGATTAGGACCGTCAGTAACCCTTACAAATAGACTTTGATTAAAAAACTGGTTGACACCAAAGTGGGGCCGTTCTGGTGTCACAGCTTTTCACCATTTTTCAATCAAAGTCTATTTGTAAGGGTTACTGACGGTCCTAATCATGAATATGGTTCATTATTCATGCTAACTCCATTTTGCGCGAATTTTGAAACGTCAACTCGAAATGCAAAAATTTGTCACCACGAGGAATCGAACTAGGGACCCCTTTTTGGTATTCAGAGGGCCGTTCAGGAAAAATTAACCATGGTTCTGTGGTTCCCGCATGTGCCCCTATATCATGCAAAAACCGTTTGAAAAAGCCTGGCAGTCCCTGAAAGACCTTCCTGCCAAGAGTGCGGGACAATGGCGCTTCGCACGAAAAATATGCCCCTGCGGCCCAGCAGGGCCGTACCCAGTGCCACTAACGCCTCTGCACGCTCGCCGATAGGTAACTTCTGGGGGGGGGTCCATTCTTCGGATTTTAGGGCAATTTTCTTGGTTTGTGCATCACTGACCGCCTCTCTTTGATTTTAATGTGATGCCTTTTCATCGTAAACTCCGCCTTTAAACAAACCAGATTTTAGCATTTCTTGGAGTTATGGAGCTTTTGCCATTAGCTGTCTCGAATACATATTTCAGCATTGAATGCAAGTTTCTCAAAACAAAAAAAAGGTAGCGGCTCCGCGCGGCCGGCGAGCTAGAGATCGTCATTTCTTCCAAGGGTTCACAGAGCAGTAATCTGCACATTAACGTAGATAAAGCACCTTCCATTGTCACTGATAGAGGAGTCGTGCCCGTTTTGTTCTCAAAAACTTCATAATAAGATAAACCAGTGAATGTGACAGAAGTCCTTCTTTGTGCCTGCGAAGCCTAGAATCAAGAAGAATAAACTACCAGAGAGCAAAGTCCACATACTTCTCCCTTTCTCATTGCAGAAGAACTAGTAGAGGTTCTCATGGGCTTTCGCATGGTAACGAGAGGCAGACTCAGAGTGGCGGATTCGCTCTCAGGGGAACCCACAAATGAAAGGCAATAAAATGGGTCGCAGTGGTTTCGTATGCTGTATCGCTTTTATCCTTCTCCTAAAAGTTATTCAGTTGGCTAAGGATTAACGATCACCTGCCCACTATCCAGACAGCCATTTCAGCAAGAGATAAGAAAGGGGAAGGGTTGAAAGGATAGAAGTGGGCGGTTTGGCAAGGGTGGGCGGAACCAGGCGGGTGGCCAACAATTTAGCAATGTTTTGCCGAGCCGCTCGACAGGCGCAAATTGCACTCCCTGGTCAGTCGTACTTCTTTCACCATTAGTATCTTGGTTACATTTCAAAGCTTTTTTTCTTCTTTTACCTTATCGACCTCAACGATTTGTTTTTTCCTCGCACTCAATTTGGCTTTGACTACAGAAATTGTTCGCAGCCTTTTTGTGATAAGAGCGAATCGATTCGGTCGAATGGTCTGATCAGTCGCTTTACAACAACGGTAGTTGCCCAAAATCGAAAATAGCTAGTGTCCTTGCGATAGGCATTGACACAAGACCTCTCTTTGTTTAGATTAGACCTAATCCTTACACGACAAGTAGAATTCCGCTGGCTTCCTCTACAAGGCACTCTCGTTACAACCATTATAATTTTAGTAAGGAATGGATTTATTTGAATTTTCTCATGTATTCATCTGGAGCTCAATAGCCAGCGGACGAAGAGATTCGTGGTGTTCAACAGAGGGCGATTTTTGGTGAAATTAATTTGCATAATTCAAATTAATACTTTCCTGGCGTTGAGCAACCCCTCAGCTCCAAATTTCAACTGCCTTCAATTTCTGGCTAAGATATACCAATTTTTTAGTGCGAAATGTAGCCACCATCGCTTCGCAGGAGCCCTCTGGGCCATCAGTGAAGACCAAAGTACCGGGACCAGCATCAATGGAAATCAAGAAGAAAATGGATCCCTTGCATGTCAGTGGTCCTTATTTCGTATACTTATTGCTCAATTATGAATGATCAAATTTAAAATCATGTCGAGACGAAGAAAAAAATAGTCACGAGAAAAATTCTAGCTCTTTTGCAACGAAAGCTTTCCTTGAAGCTCGTAATTCTTTTATTGAAACACGCTGTCTTAATGCGGGTCCCTTTGGGTTTTATGCCCAAGCGTGACCCTCATTGCCCTTATTCCACTCCATTTTATGCTAGCTAGTCAATATGCGGCCAGATTTTCGTATTAGTGCAAGGATTTCTCAGTAGAATAAATGCTCAGGGATTCGCCATTCTGAGTTCGACTCAGTTCTATGAAGCTTTTCGGCGCTCTAATGGCGCAATTCAATTAATCACCATCTCTGTATGCTTTCTCTTTCTAGTGTGTTGTTACACTTTCATCAGACCTGCATCTTCGACCAACGCGGGCAGACAACGGCCAGCAACACGAGCTGGCTACCGGCTCAAAGAGCGCGTCACGTGTGCCCTCTCAGCGCCATTCACCCTCGCCAGGAACCACGAGTTGACCCCTTGGTGTAAACAGCAAAGAATGCGAGGAATCATGCTATGATGAAATTGCAGGAATGGATCGGATTGGTTTCCTTACTTCGTGGAATTCCTATCGACTTGAGTTTAGGAACATCCTAGGTCGGGTTGAAAAGCTATTGAAGCACCGGATCCGCTAGAGGTTTTCGTTTGAGCGTTCGGTAGGCCCCACAACCTAAAAGACGCAGTGCCAGTAGATTCGGAATGAATAAATATCTCGAGAGCACGCTAAAACAAACAAATAACAGGGAAATCATGGGGAAGAGAAGAGTAAAGAACTGCACCTGGAATTCCTCGTTGTTTTGCATGGCCTTGTGACCTTGAATAGGCTGAACAGAGGGAGCCGTGCTACGAAAGAGACGACGTAGGATTTATGGGCTCGCAACTGAACTGGAGAGCTTCTAGTTGGCATGGGTCTGAACGAATTGAATGTGAGGGTTCCTTACTCCAATAGCATCATTGAGAGAATCACAGCTGAGAGATGTGCTGATTAGGAAATGACGTCAATCAAAAGAAAAGAGCTGATTTGCTATGCCCTCGCTTGAGGTGTAACATTGATCCAAAGATATGGCAATTATAGTGTTCCTCAAGATGAAGCACCATGGCTTGGCTAGTTTTTGCTGGATAACTGCTGTTTTACGCCGCAGTTCGCGTTGCGAATGTTATCACAAGAATGCTGAGTTGTGGGCAAAACTTTCGCCCCAGCCGGGATTCGTACCCGGATCACTTGCTCTTCCGGGCACTTGTGCTACCAGTTAGACCATCGGTAAAAAGTAAAGTCATTAACGGCTAGGGCAAAAGTTTTGCCCTAAACTCAGCCTCATTGCGATACTTGTGGCTTGGGCCGGAGAGGGCTAATTCCCAACTTTCAGAGTACTGCTCTGTTGACGTTACCATGGGTTGAGATGTCCGGAATCATTTTTATTCGCTATAAAGTTCGAGATGGTCCTAAACGCACAAACTTTAGCATTGGTTTGTTCAATGGTGAATATGAGGTCATGTAAATAGATATTGAAGGGGATGAGTGGAAGAACCCCGCCTTGGGGTTCTCACAGTGCACAAGCTTGGGCGGTAACTGCGAGTAGCATCAATGGAAAATTTTACAGAGCCTCGATTATTTTATAGCAATTTGTTGCGAGAGACTGTCGAAAATTCGGATATACTACATTCATAGCTTTACCCTGATCTAGGGCTATGGATCAGTCATTAAGAGCCCGAATCGTAGCGGATGACTGTTCCATTATTGAAAGCCGTGTTGCTTTAGCGGATATAATGCCATATTTTGATGATCCTTCGTGGTTCTTTTTTTTTTCGAAACCTTTAAAAACTCTCGATAAATCTAGGCAGGCTTGTTATTGTGAACTTTATGCCTGCCACGAACTTCGTAAGTGGAAATTGTAACAAACTTACGGCATGAAACTGGAACTTACGGCCTGGAAACTTACGCATTTCAACCTTCACGTCGTTTTCAAAGGCGTATACATGGCTCTAGGCTCAAGAATTGCTCATTAGATCGGATTAAATGTTGAGGCCTTTGAAAACATGAAGGTCAAAACGTTGGCCGTAATAAAGTTTCCACCTACAAACGTTGTGGCAGAAGCCCAAAGCACACAATGACAACGAGCCATGCCGAGTTTTTAAGATGAGTCCTTTAGCATGAGCAAAATTTTTCTGAAGAACGGATATAAAGTCAGCGTGATAAGAATTGGACCAAAGCCATTCCAAATGGAAGCTATTCGAGAATGGCTACCAATTCACCCACGCTCCTTTCCTATTCGATCACTGAATAGTTCTAGTGGAACAGTTTGTTCAGTAGTCTTCGTTTTTCAAGATATGTTTGTAAAGCTTGTAGGCTGGTTTACCTCAAAGGACCCAGGAAGATTATCAAGGAACCAATAACTGGATAAACGTTTTCCCTTGGGGTTGCTTTCACGGTCAGCAGTTTTATGCCAACGCTTTCGAACCAGCTCGAAATGACCCTTTCCAAATCTCGAATCCGCTCAACGTGGCTGCTTAATTTAGTCGAATCGACTCAAATAGAAGGCGATAAGTTCCATTCAGCTGTTGAGATCGCAAACGGACGGTGCTGCACATGCTATAATGTGATGGCTGTGGCAAAATTAATCTTCACTTGATTGAAATGGTGGGCTAGAAGTCGCTAGGCGCGCTAGCAGTATACTATGCTATCTTGAAATATTTATGCATAAAAAAATTAGAACGGATAGTACTCAACTTCCGAAACTCAAAACAATACAACTAGGTTCAAAGCGACATTTTTCTCCAAACCTCTAACCCTTAATTTCAGCAAACCACGTCCGTGCGGATTTTCGTGGACTTCGAAAAATCGTTTGGTAATTACATGGTTGATGCCGACGGTAAGCCCACCACTAATCACTTGAATAGGGCACTGACAAGTCGATGGGCTCTTTTTCAGGAAACGCTCTACTCGACATCTACACGCAGATTTCTTCACTTCCTCTCGGGTACAATCATCCTGATTTGGTCAAAGCCGCTGCTAATCCACATTTCATTGTAAGTGACGCTTTCCTCATGGTTGCACGTGAGTTTGAGAAATGACTATAGAACTAGTTTCACAAGAATGCTGGGTTGTGAACAAAACTTTCGCCCCAGACGGGACTCGAACCCGCACCTCTCGCTTTCCGGGCAAGTGCGCTACCAGTTACGCTACCGGGGCACCATTTCATTCCAACTCAGCTTTCATGGTATACGTACCATAGCTTGTCAGCACTCACTCGTATAAATCTCGTATAAATGTCTTATAGAATTAGTAATTCGATGCTTTTATTAGGTTGAGCAAAAATTATTCGCTGTTTTCATTTCACTCATAAGTTTATCAACAAAATTAAACAAAAACAACAATAAATGCGTAATCAACAAACGCTCTCGAACATCTGCAACCGTGCCTTCATCCCAGGCTTCATTGATTCTACGAGCAGATGCAGAAGCATTCGGTTTCGAGCTCAACTTGCACTCATGTAGCAGAGCAATTTTTTGCTAGTGTGTAAGCTCCAGAGTGAAGCAAATACACAAGTGTTGTACATCAAAATGTACAAGAGATTGCGCGCTTTCAGACACATCATAATCTTCGAAAATAATCAGCAAAATCAAAGAGTCCATGAGCCTGAAAAAACGGCGGATAAGTTTTTCTCGGCCTACTACATCTATGGCAATCGCGGAAATACTCCTACGGAGGAGCGGCGTTTACAGCCACTAGATCTTAGGAATAGCTACAACTGATACATTCACTATCTTTGTATTCATCTCTGCTCTGCCATATCTGGGCAGTAGGATGTAGATTAATTTTAACTGTCACCATCCTTGATGGATGAGTTCTCGACTGTCGGCGTATAATGTGAATGCTGAAGTGCGGCTTAAAATCGGAAATTACCTATTTTTGGAACTCTGATTCTGAAGACGAAATATGTTTATACATTTCTTCTATAGTAATTGCTTTTGACTGACATTAAGAAAGCTCGACGTCAAAGGCTCGCTGTGTTTTAGGAAAACTTACTTAACCTTGTTCATGCTTTGTTCCAAGATTCAGGTCATTATTACCCTCTAGAGTTTCTAGCGCTTTTTTAGTTGGCCCATTTAATTCATGAGATCTTTAAATGATGCAATAATCTGATTATGAGATTCGGCTTGCTCCTCTCTTAGCAGTTGATTATCAATGCTAGAAACTAACGTGAATCAAGGTGACCAGTCCTCCCCCCCCCACCACGCCATAATGGAGAATTTCTGGTGCGAAGGAACCACCGCTGTCGTCTCTCGTCACCTCACAAACAGAAGCTTTTTCTCTCTTCGCCTACTTGTAACGGGGCGATTTTAGAACTGTGGACCTTTTTTGCTGGGATGTGATGAATCAACATCATGAATCAGAATTCATAACATTCACTATGAATGTCATCGATAGGATTCCATCGCTGTGTCACACAGCTCCTGAGTTTCTCATCCGATTTCAACAATCGAACAGAAAATGCGATAAACTGGGGGATCACCCAGCATCGTATGCTTCCCATAGTTATTGCTCTTTCCTTTGGGTTTTGAAAGCGGAAAGATCGGGGACTATAAAAAGGATAAAGGATAAAGCATTTGCCGTTGATCAATCCCTTTTTGGGATGCGGCACGCATTCTACTTCCATTTGTACATTCGTAGTGGCGTTTGAATGCGATGTGGCCTATACAATGACTTGCGGGGGCCAGCTGTGTTTTTTATCCTCCCAGACAAGTCTGGTACCAATTAACCGACCCCGGAGGGATGGAAGGCTTGGTTGGCCCGGGCGACTCACGACCCAGGATTTGATCCCCGGACCGCTCGCGTGGTAAGCGCGCCACTTGTCACTACACCACTTCCGCCCATCGGGACTATAAATCACCGAAATTGCTGGAGCTCAAGTGGCGGTTTGAGCCGAAGCAATTTCTAATGCAGTTGTCGTATTGCTGGACAAATAAGGCGTGCTGCGAGTACAAATTGAGAGCGGCTCTTTTCAATTCATAGTTGCAGATGGTGACACACATGTGCCTTGCATAGCATACGCGCTACAAATGCTTCTGAAAAAACACTGTAAGCTGCCGGTTTCTCCATCCGCCAAAAAGACTTCCTTCTCTTCTCAGTGTTACAGTTTACGCCAGCATGTTGACACTTTTGGGAAAGCTCGTTGAATATTGGCTCAACCTTCAATGGTATACTTTCTTGCCATAGCAGAACGCAGTGACAGCGTCACCTTGAGGGAAAGGCATAGATCAGTGTCTTCCTACGGATTATGACAGGCAACAGTGTTAGACATAAGAAGAATAGTCAGACAAAGTAAAAATACTGAGGACATTTTTCTTTCTAAGGCCCTAGAACGTGTGTAAAACTTTGGGCCTGCATTCTCTCGTCCTATGGCGAGCGGTACTTTGTGACGATGCTTTACCTTTCTTATCTATTCTCGAAAAAACTACAGAGTTAATTCATGTTATTCTATTGTCTTGACCCTTATGTGCACTCCGATGTCTGATATTCAACTGCACTACATATTTCTGTCCATTTATTGTGCTGTCCCGGAGCCTCATCAGGACGTAAATATTGTATAACACAGAGAGAACTGACACAAAAATTGTAAACCGGAATATGAAGTGTTCAAAAGAATCCCAGGAAATGCCTCCTATTCAGACTTTGCCGTAGTCTTCCTTTATTATTCTCTCAAACTGTTTGCTAGACTCCTGATGATATCGAACGCAGACGAGCTCTTTTCCTGTAGGTCAATGAAATTCCCGTTTTCCTATGACTTCCCAAGTACTGTAATTGTACGTTGTTCAATTCTGAGTTCTGGAACTTGCGCCATTCAAACTTTGAATCCTTGGAATGGAGTTAGCTGAAGTATATAGAAAAGGTTGTCCAATAATATCGGAGAAAATGTTTTTTCGATTAAACACTAGGATTTTTAAAATTCTTGATTTGTTTTATTTCGTCTGTTTTGCTTTGTTATCAAAAGGTTAGCTCTGGTCGTACTTGTATAGTAATTGAATTTGTTGGAGAGGACCTGTCTTCAGGAAGCTAAAGGAAAATATCATCAAACGTTGCTGAGACTGTTTTCAGACGTCGTTGGTGTCGAGACCTGCTTTGGGTTCGTTCCCTCGGAAATGATTTCCCGGATGGCATTTCGAACGCCTTGACTTCCATCGCACCCAAAGGACTTAAGGTTGCTTGCCAACATAACATTAACGGCCTCGTTCTCATTCTGTAGAGGCTAATAAAGGTTGTTTCAGGCTGTGCAAACAATGTTGTGTGGAACATCTGCCAACGAGAATGCCATCAAGAATGCGTTTATTTGGTTGGTATCAGCTAAAATAATACAAAATGTTGCAAAGAGTCAGCTGCGTCCGTATTACTGTCAGCTGAGCAGTTCAGGTACATGACGAATCGTCGCGGTGGAAATCCTCCCGATCAGAAGGCTCTCGATAGCGCCATGATGCAGAATCAGCCCGGAACCCCTCGACTTTCGGTGCTTGGCTTCCATGTACGTACCTCTTTAACGAGCTTCAACTCAAAATGTAAGCGCTGTTTTAGGGCGCTTTCCATGGACGTTCCCTTTGTATGCTGTCTGTCACACGAAGCAAAGCAATTCATAAGGCTAGTTTTTTTCTTTCCTTGAATTCCTTATCGCATTTGATTGAACTGCTGAAGCTGGAGGACTGAATTTTCTCATTAAAGCGTTACTACTTCTAATACATTTGGACGCCAGTCCTCGAAAAATGCTAAGAATGTGTAATTTAGAGCAGTCTGTTCTTTCTGAACCAGTTTTCCACGGACGTTTGACACTTTTCAAAAAAACGCCCACCTTATGGTTGCAGGATGTCTAAAGCTGTGATTTCTAGTGGGTTTGAAAGAGGATTCCACGATAAGAACGAAGGTCGAAGAAGGGAAAATTGCCTAGTTGGAGACAGGCGGACCTCCTGAGGGTGCGAACTGACGCGCAATTCGCATGAAAAATTTGACCTCGGCGACCTATCATGCCTCAAAGCTGGCGGGTCGGCGATCTCCGCCCACCGATCATCTGATCACTCGCCGTAGTCTATATACGTGGCGAGTGATTAGATAGCAGAGAGAGCGTAGTGTTGAAGAGGGCACAGCGATGAGAGTCGCATCAATGCGCAAATCAACGGGCAAGGAAGGGGTCCCATTTCTCGGGTTCTGGGCCGTTTCTCATGGTTTTTCCTTCTTTCGTGTACCACTCACCATCCCTAACTTAATTTGAAATGGGTTGCTTTTTCATCGTGAATTCTGCCTTCGAAGTCATCATTGCTCTCTCCTTCGTGGGTGTCTAGTCTGCTCAAGGCAAATTAATATCCAGCCGGGATCCCCTCAGCCGTTCAGAAGAAGTCACTTATGAGGGAGAAGTGGGAACGGGAGGGCATTGTGACGTACAGCATAAAACCCATTCAAAGTCCATGACAAACATTTTCTTCTTAATAATCTCTTAGTTTCCTTGCCCCTGCCTCTACCAAACCGGTTCGTCAATCTCAGACCTCCTCCCTGGCAAAGAATGGAATTAACTGACTGGCCGAGTTATGCATTGCAGAGATGGCTCACCCACACCCCCTTCCCCCCCCCACCCCCCGTCCCTCGCCTAACTTCATTGCGGCGAGTTATTAGTTAATCGAAAAACGATTTACGGCATAAAACTTATTTCAACTGGATAAATCACTACCATAAGGGTTACAAGGCTTCTGTCAACCAGGGGGTGAGAGTGTAGAAGGAAAAGCAGACGTTCTTTGTGGTAGTGGGACTAAGCCTTTTGAAGGAGGTAAAGAAAGCGGAGATTCTGTAATAGTGCGCTTGTGTGAGAGCTCCCAGACAGCACAACAAAACGCTGAATTGCCTAGCCTCACGGTTGACAGATGTCCGGAGACCCCGAATAAGTAGCAAAGTTTGGCAGAGAGCGTGACCACGGTAGTCATCCACTTCGAGATTTATGAGAGAAAGGAGCGTTATTCAGTTCCTGATAGGACAACTGCCATTGGAAGCCAACAATGTGAGCAACATGTCATTCAATTCGTATTGAAGGTTTCTCATTCAAAAATCCTGCAAAAAAGCCAATAGATATCGACGAAGGTGATTAGCAGTATATTTTTGTGACACCCATTGTTCTTTATAGTGTTGTGGTGCTAGCAGCGTGGTCGGTATACGTGCTGTTCTTCTAAAAAGTACTCAACCATCAATCATAGTTTAAAATCACCCGTCTTTCTGTTGGTATTTTTGCCCATTTTGCGTCAGCAAATTCATGCATTTCACGAACACTGTCATAATATGTAATGGAGTGGGAGGGCTCAGATAAGAAAAACTCATCGTAGCATCTTTGGTGCGCAAAATTATAAAGGATATGTGTACTAATTTTCTGGGCATAGTGGTCGCTATTTTTTGGGATTTCAAAGAGGAATCAGACCGCTTTTTGAATGTCTGAAAAGGCGAATGACGCTGGGTCCGCCACTGATGTGTGCTGACTGAGTGTAGTGCGTGCTTTGCTATCCTTCGCGATGAAACGAGGCCTTTGAAAACGACGAGAGGGTCAAAACATTGGCCGCAATAAATCTTCCACCATAACGACCTTGACAAGCAGAGGCCGTTTATTATAGGAGAGTACAAATTGCATTTACAACATCGGCAGAGGAACGCCGAGATTTCAAGATGGGAGAACTTGGAATGTACAGACGAATAGCGGACCTTGTTTTCTTACTGCCGTTTCGCTATTTTAAAGGACATAAAACCGATGAAGCATCTGGACCTTTTATTAGTATTGGGATGCGCCACGCTTCTCATTTCCATTCAGCCGTAGAGGTAAATTGAATGCGATTCGGCCTATACAGTGACTGACGGGAACAACCGATGTAAATGTCAGTGTTTTTGTCTTATCAGACAGGTTTGATTCTACGTACTCGACCCCGGAGAGATGGAAGGCTTTGATGGAGTATGCAAACCAGCCATTTTGGCGTTTTTATGGAGCCGTATGCTGAATGTTCGGGAGGGGATAGGGTCCCAGAGGTCGACGGACTACCTCAACTCGGTCCTTAAAACCGCCTCAATTTGATGCTCACCTCAGGATTGAGCCTCAAAGACAGAGAGGATACCCCCCCCCCCCCCCCCCCCCCCCCCCCCCAGACCTGCGAGAGAGCGCAATTCCGTCCTCTCTTCAAGGCTTAGTCCTGAGGTGAAGCAAAGCCAGCCCTTTTGGCGGAGCTGCTGGACCAGCTGCACCACTTGCGTCATTATACTCCCACCGTACTGACCGAGTTTCGTAACCATCCAGACAAAACTAACATCGTAAACTTCTAAAGCTACAAGACATGTGAAGTAGTCCGTCGAGCGTCGGGGACCCCACCCCTCCCCAACATTCAGCATAGGGCTCCAGCAGAAACTCCAGAAGGCTGGTTTGCTTACCTCGGCTTTGATGGCTTGGACGGTAAACTATTCAGGCAGTGCCCGTGGTATGCAGCGCCACTTGTCACCACTGCTGCCTTGGGGCGGTATTCAATCCTTCCCCCAGGGGATATATCCCCCTCCTCTGATTCAATCCTCTGGGGGGACAAAAAAGGGTTGCGTCATAGGACCTAGCATACCTCTGTGTTTCTACCTGCCAGACAGTTACTACCCTCCACTGATGAAGCACTCTTTTCCCTGAGGGGTCGCGCTGCTCTAACTGTCTGGCAGGTAGAAACACAGAGGTATGCTAGGTCCTATGACGCAACCCTTTTTTGTCCCCCCAGAGGATTGAATCAGAGGAGGGGGATATATCCCCCTGGGGGAAGGATTGAATACCGCCCCTGGTGATGGATAGAGTGAAGTATTAGAGTGATACAACTTGAGAATACAAATGCGGCGAAGTATCGAGAAAAGAAGTCGTATGGGAGCCACACTATTCGAGTTTTAGATATATTTAGAATCCCGATTAGTTTTTTTTCATTTTTTTTCGGCTTTCCAGCACAATCCAAAATCACGGTTCATTTCACACCAGTGATGACTCACGTTCATGCTGTCAATTTTGGATTTGGGATGTCAATTGAAGTATTCACCTTCAGGTCGACATCCCAGCGTTCGATTGGCCGATTGCAAAATTCCCTCGTTACAAATACCCACTGGCTGACAATAAAGCTTACAATGATGCCCAAGACAAAGAATGCCTGAAAAGATGTGCAAGAAAAAATTGCCGAATGGAAAAAGAAGGTGCGTTTTTTTCCGTTTCTCAGTTTTTTTCTTGATCACAGTTTTTCTCAGTAATTTTGCTGTACTTCGTCTCTCGCCCCTGTATTTGGCAGGGAATAATTCTGCTATTCGTTTTGATAGTTTCAATTGGGGTCAGTGAATGTGAATTGTAAAGGCGAAATACTGCACCACAGGCTCCTCGGTTTCAGTTCTTGAAGTTCTATTACGGTCTCTGTCGTTGTTTTTTATAATACTTGAACGGTGTCATAGTTCTTTCATTTGCATTCATCATTATTTTATACGTCTAATTAGTTGGTGCAGTTGCTCCACTTCAGGATCACGACGTGGCCGCTATCATCGTTGAGCCTATTCAAGCCGAGGGTGGGGACAATTACGGAAGTCCTGCCTTCTTCAAACAATTACAGAAGATCGCAGCCGATAACGGCATCGTCTTCATTGTTGACGAGGTGATTCAATTCCGCTGATTAGGCTCTCTCCAGCGAGCCTTTGCTTCAGAGGGAATTCGTGTTGTTTGTGGCGAAATAATCAGCGGGTAAAACTCGGGTTTCCGAATATATCACTCACGAACTGGCAAGACATGTGTCTTTCATCAGTTTTCATTAATTGAAATCAAGGGCCTATAAGGTGCACTTACCATTAGAGGCTTCTGTGTGGAAATTCAGGTCGTCCATGATGACGAGGGAGTTTTCCAAGTATCATCACCCCCCCCCCTCTTGACAGCTCATAAAACCTCTGTGGCGAGGAATCCGTGGGTGGAGGTATTTGATCTTCTGGGAGCGCGTAGTGCTTAGACCTCATTACACATATTGAAATTTTTTCTGCTCTGTAATTATTAACTATAACCTAAAAGCACGCACACGGTAACTTTGGTAGGGTCACTTTGCCTGAAACTGAAAAGTGAGGTGCAAATTGGATTGATAGTGTGGAAAAAGTCAAATAAACCACCGAAAAGGTAGGCTATGGCTCTTCTCTTCCTGGGCCATGTAGAGGAAGATAGCGAGGTAAGGACGTCTGAGTTTCGAGGAGAGAGAAAAGAATCGGTGACGAGAAAGCATGGATACCGGCGAGAGCAAATTAGATTCACGAATACAATTTCTGGGCCGACTCCGGATGCGGAAAGGTTTATTTGCATTTTGAGCCTCAGCCTGGCAGTTTCGTGCAGCCGGATCGGTACATGGTGTGGGCCACCCTTTTCCGAACTGGGGCTCGCTCCGGTGTCCGATCGCGTGTCACCTTCAAAATGTACGAATTGAAAAGACTGCCTTATGGGATTTCGAAGAAACGTTCCATCGCATGACCTGGACATCATACTATGTGAGAAGTAATTCTGCGATTATTCAGGTCCAAACCGGTGGTGGTGGAACGGGTGATATGTGGGCACACAGCCACTGGAACCTTGATTCACCTCCTGATATTGTCACTTTCTCAAAAAAGCTTATTACCGGAGGATATTACTATAAGGAGAATCTACGTATCAAGGAGGTAATTTGTCATCTACTTCACAATTCTGTCAGCATTCACAAAATCATTTCTAGGGTTATCGAATTTACAACACTTGGATGGGAGATCCAACAAAGCTGTTCCTCTTAGAAAAAGTGGTCGAAGTCATCAAACGAGACGACCTAATCAACAAGACTAAATTAGTGGGAGAATATTTCCAAAGCGAGCTCGCGAATCTGCAGGTAACTTTTTGTCTTTTTCAGAGAGTGTAAACTCGTTCTTGAAATTGATGTTATATTTGATGAGAACCAGAATGTAGGTGTAAACTAAAGGGCAGAGTGGTATTGCGCAGTTTCATTTTCTGGGGACGGAATGCAGCAAACTATTGGGTTATCCATAATTACTGTCCGAATTTACACACTTCCATCTCTTCGACTTTTATCTTTCTTGAAAACCACTGCGAAATACAACCATTATCATAATCAGTGATACGCATCCATTCGCCAGGGAACCTTTGGATGCTTTCCTCCTAGAATGAGTGAAGCTAGAAGTTGAAGAATTCAGCAAGGTCGTTTTTGGGGTGGTTGTATTTAGTGACTTTTTCTTTCGCCGCTGCTGCTTCGAGGCACTGTGAGGAGAACAGCTCGACGGAGTAATGTCAGGGCAATATGATGGATCTGTTATCCGAAAAATTGGATAGTGGAAAGAAAGTGGTCCGAAAAATTCCCCTCGAAACGTGGCGATTTATATGCTATGTGAGTTCAGGCGTTCATTTGGAATGAGCTTTTGTGACGTTTATGACTATTCCCTCGCACTGCTGCGGCCAAGTTGTTCTACTGTAGTATTCGCAATATTTCTGTGCATACAGCAAAGTGGTTACGAAAACGGACACACTCAGTCTAAGAAACCGAGGACAATATTCTCAGAACCTGGAGTTCGGGCTTTGGTTGAGCTGGTGCTTCCTGGCTGCGAGGTAGCCATAGACGTGCCGCATGTTGTTGTCGCAGTGGACTCTTGACTCATCTCCATTGTTCGATTAGGGAAAATCCCTTCTGTGCGGCAGCAAGAGAAGACTTCTGCGGATGGACAGACGTGCTTCCCGGTCATAGCCGGTGGGTGCATGCGATTTCAATTGAGGCTACATTCTTCTGCAGCCGCTCTCATTCTGGTGGCGAGCCATGGTGCGCCGTTTTGACCTACGACCGAACCTTTAGTAGATGTCCGAGCGCTCACAGAAAATGAGTCGAACACAGCGGTAATCTTTTCTACTGTCCTCCTTGCAACAGCGTCTATTTGTGGATCGTAAAGCATAATCGTTCGTTATTGCTACTGATCTATTTCGACTCCTACTTAGTTATCCCGATGCGGGTTTGACCTTCCAAAACCTCCTGGCTAACGGTCTAGATGCACTCTTTGACATACCAACATATTTCGCAATGACACTAATTGACTTGAAGAAATTTGAATTTGATCAAAAATCGGACAGGAATTATGGGAAAAACCAATACATTCACGTGTGAAACCATGCGCAGTTGTAATTCTTTGTTGTGAAAACGAGTAACAAAGGGTTGCTTTTAGTAAAGGAATCTTCCACGGACTGCTTATCCTTTCCTTGTGTACAGGTGTTGGGCATGGTCATTGAAGACCATATGCAAAGTTCAGAGCGAAAATGATGAAACCCCCAAGAGAAACAGCCCTTGGAAAGACCCATCTGTGGGACCGGATTGGACCAGTAGGCGGGACCGGAAGTGCTTCTGTGACGAAGTGCGTGGCAGGTGCGGATCCACGTGTCAGTTTATGGGAAGGGCCCATGAATCCTGTTCACGTTCACGCTTTTGACACGTTTGCACGTGTTGACTCCACGCCGCTAACAGTTGTGGAAGTTTTACAGCGGGAATTCAAAATTTTCATAGTCGAACTGGTTATCATAATTATTATCAAAACCATCGCCTATGTTCCGTTCTTTTTGCTATCTTCATGAAGCAAGGGGCCTAAGGTATCGTTTTTTGTAGGAATGGAGGCGATGTTTTTCCGTGGAAGATTCCTTTAACCTTCGGAACCAACCTTATCGCAAATTATGGCATTTAGAAATGTGGCCAAAATTCGTCGGATTTCTAACATAGACATGTCTTTTTTTGCACTTACGTCCTAGTGATGAAATTGCGATAACATGGTTTCCAGGCAAATCACTCGTCGAAAGTCAGTCAGGCTCGTGGTTTGGGAACCTTTGCAGCCATCGACTTCCCTAATGCTTCAGTACGAGATCAATTCGTGGACAAGGTGCAGACATCATTTTGTTTCTGAAGATCCCTTCGAATGAAGCTGTCTCTACCGTAGCCCTTCTTGGAAGAGCAGATTCTTTTCATGCTTCCCTCTCAGTTTCTTTTTTAGGCAATCAATCTCGGCCTGCATTGCGGCGGATGTGGCGAGAAGTCGCTGCGTTTCCGACCATCGTTAGTGTACGACAAGAAGCACGTCGAAATCACATTTGATCTGCTTGACAAGGCACTCAAACAGTTATAAAAGCATTATATATAAATTATAATGTTCAGTGTGTTTTTGGATCAACAATAGCTTCGGGGGAGAAAAACTACGACATCTGTAACTAATTTGATGATTCTTTCAAAGATCTGATCTTCAAAGTAGTGACCGATAGGAGGCGAGACAGAATAGCTGCCAGTTGATCCGCTTCATACAAAAAATTGGGTGCAAAATTATAAAATTGATAAGAAAGCTGAAAACTCACAAAAAACCAAACACCAAAGAAAATCACATGAAAACTCAATCGATCGCTGAGTTTACATGTGATTCTAATGTGAATAGCCATAACTCTGAAGCAATTCCCATTACCGTGGTAATGGGTTGGTCGTTAAAGTTCTTCTGGCAGCATTATGCAAATATTTTTCAGGCGGCTCGTTTCCTCTGCGGCGTAAATCTCGGCTCGTCTAACAGGGGGGGGGGGGGTCTTCAGGACATGAGCGTTTTTTCAAAATGGTTTTCTGAATGTTGTAGAGGCTCATGTGAGGAACACAGAACCATGGTCCATTTTTCCTGAACGCCCAGGAATGTCAAAACAGCGGGGAAGAAATGGTCCAAAGTTCGATCCTCCGTGATGACAAATTTTTGCAATTTATGTTGGCGCCTCCAAATTGCCGCAAAACACGACAATGACATCTATTCTCGACGATGGCGCCATTTGGCGGCAATCTGGGGCGCCAAACTATATTTGCAAAAATTAGTCATCACCGGGGATCGAACTCTGGACCATTTCTTCACCACTGTTTTGACATTCCTGGAGGCGTTCAGGAAAAATGGATCATGGTTCTGTGTTCCTCGCATGAGCCTCTACAACATTCAGGTAAGAATTTTGAAAAAAAAAACGCTCCATGTCCTGAAAGACCTCTCTTGTAAGCAGCCTGGAGGGATTGAAAGCTGCAGTGTGGCACAAGATATCACCAAGAAGATGATTAACCATTCGAAATTCCGGAAGCGAATGATGTCCATGGGCTTCTAACATAGCGGCACGAAGATTGGAAACCTTCTCAGTAGGTGCGAGTAAGATCCCCGCCCAAGCCGACGTTAGCTTGCCCATGTCCCAGCACTCTCTAGGGCACTCTAGATAATCTGCGTACGTGAGAATCACCAGCAGTAGAGGAGCAGATAAGGGATATAGCCCAATTTCAATACAATACAAGCACGGTCATTCGGCATAGGAACCACATGCGCCACGAGTTCCCTGACTTTTTCATTTTCTCACATCTCCTCCAACACCTTGGCGCAGTTGGGGTGTTCGTAGATCGTAGAGCATCACCAAAAGGCGAAGACGTCGGCGAACATCGTTCATTATCAGAGAAAGAATTATTCACAGAACAGATGCAAGGAAATTTCTGCAAATTAGCCTTACATCCTGGCGCTCTCGGCACCGCCCTATACAACGCTGAATTGTGCCACATGCGTTAAAATGGAGTTAAAGGCACGCTCCACGATTAGGCGCGCTTGCCTCTTCCATCCCGGGGGTAGTAGGCAGGCGGACAAGTGTTGATGTCGCGCCCCTTTTGCCGCTTGAAAGTGCGCGACAAAGGCGCAAGGAGCTCGTCCGACCCGCAACTCACACCTTCGTCCGCAAGCCCCACCCTCCGCTGTCGGTTGCCACGTGGCGCTGCTTGATCCCACCGCGATCCTGTGTCAATGGCACTGGAGCAACTAGAGTTAGGCTTCGCGAAACTCGTCCAACGCGCCTCTTCTCTATCCCAAGGTGGAATGTGGCTGAAATAGGGGAGGTCTCTGTACGGGGCGTAATCGGTGGTTTCGTTTGCTTTCCTTCTCTTTTATAGACCACCTCCCACCTGTTCATGACTGAACGCTTTTCCACACCTATTTTATCCCGAATCTTGCCTTTAAAATAGAACTTTCAAGTGGCTCAACTGCTCCAACTTTATTCCCGGCCCATTATCGTAAGAAGGGTTCTTGGAAGCCCCCGGTACAGTAGCAGTCAAAAGTTCGGAGCTTTTTTATTTTTAATTTAGCGCTGTCAGTAACAAATGGAATTGCCTCAAACTCACGCAGTATATAAAAAATCAGGTGTAGAATGCGATGGATCTTACAGTTTCCCGAAATCTGCAATCGTAAATGAAAAAAGTATGATTTTTCGAACAAATCGCGCGTCAAAAGTTTCAGAACTTTTTGTTTCCCTCATTGTTATAAGTCTGATTTCTTCTAATTTGCATGTTTCTGTTGACTTCACTTTAATCGGTAGGTATTATGTGATTTCAAAATGAATTCATATAATAAGGAGGCATCTTCTTTATAGGACAGGTTTTTGTGAAGCCTACGTCCACAGTACGAAAATGAAGTTGTATCGCAGTCATCATCCACTACGGAAGCAATATTATCAGGTGTTTTCTGCGTGATCGGAGTCGAGCAGGCATAAAGAGAATGACCCTTCACAGAAAAACATCTTCGCTAGAAGAGTGGCCCTTTTCAAGGACTTCGAATCGTGGCTGGGTCGTCCCGTCCCTCGAGATCACCAACCCAGAAGCGACCTCGTGTTTTCTTTCAATCAAATGAAAAATCAGGTGCAGCTCAACGTCGACGGGGACCTGGCGAAAATTACGATAGATGTCCCAACAAAAAGAGATTGTTAAGCTTCAAGAGACGGTTGGCCCAACTGGCGTCCGCACATTAACGGCTCCTGACAGCTAAAAAATTGTGCTCAGCTACGAGCAGAATTTCTGCCTTTCTGGGAATGTTGTAGTGAGCCCTGTGAAGTGTTCCGTCAAAGGAAACCTCATTTAGGTATCAGATTCCAACAGTCAGAAATAGTGGAAGTACTGTCATGGATGAAGATGTGTCCGACCATTCGGCGATTCCCCAGTTCTAGGTATCCAGCGAAATGTGGGTTGGGCTAAGTACAAGTATAGTCTGTAGAATACAATGCTTCCCTTCGATAGTCAGAACTAGCCGGAAAAGATGGGTTTTCTATCGCGGAAATGACCCAATGCAGGCCTACCTCCTCACTGCTTCCTAAACCCAGAAAAAGATGCTGTTATGAAGCGAGCCAAGTCAAGACGCACTTTCACTGAGCTTTACATTTTAGGTTGGGGTTGACATGTTGTACAATCCACAGTCCAGTAAAGAGATCCAATACGATTTAGCTCGCAAAGTGTGGGCTTCGACTCAAAAAACCTAAAAAGCTCCAACAAATTCAGCAAAATTAAAAACAATTCTAGCACTGGTTCAAGGTTGTTCAACAAAATACTAGCTTCTGGTGTTGATTCGAGGGCAACTGTGCCAAATTCGCTTTGGAATTAAGGAGTTTCCAAGCTTTTGAAGCGCCGTTTCTTACAAAAACCCTTATTCTTCAATTGCGATCGTCGATCTGGCGAAACTATTTGCAATTGCGTTCTGCCATTGCACTTGTATGTAATGTGTGTGAATTATTCGAAACAATTTCGTTTCTAGTGGCTAGGTAAACGAAAAGGTTTCCAAACTTCAACCGTAGCTGTATATTGGCTGATTCAACAGACTGCTGACTTTGAAGCCTTTTAATTTTCTCTCAACCCTTGCAACCGATTTGAGGAGATAGTTATTGTCTGCTTATTCGACTTGGTCTTGAGAGATTTTGCCCTTGCTTTTCTGATAAGTATAAAAGGATGAAGCATTTGCCGTTGATCTATCCCTTTGTGGGATGCAGCACACATTCTACTTGCGATGCGATGTGGCCTATACAATGACTTGCGGGGGCCAGCCGATGTTCAGTGTTTTTATCCTCCCAGACAAGTCTGGTACCCCGGAGGGATGGAAGGCTTGGTTGGCCCGGGCGACTCACGACCCAGGATTTGATCCCGGACCGCTCGCGTGGTAAGCGTGCCACTTGCACTACACCACTTCCGCCCTCTTTTCCGATAAACAAAGTACAAATAAGAGAAGGAAATATGACCACCACTTGCTGCTAAATTGATTCGGATTTCCTTGTGCACTGCATTTATCAGTTATGCACCATAGTGAAGCTATGTGAACCTTGATCCCATTAACGATACATTTTTATTGCAACAACATTTACTTTCATCGAGTTGGAACACTTTTTGTCTCCACGGTGACGACGAAATCAAAACTATACAGACTACTGCAGGAACCCGAATAGTTTTATTAGGTGGGGATGGGGAGCAATCCCCCGTTTTCTGTTCCCACATAAGTTGCTTAATAAAACCAAACAAAAACAACAACAATTGAATAATCAAATAACAGCCCGAACGGTCCTCTCTGCAACTATGCCTTCACCCTGGCCTCATTGATTGTATGTGAAGATGCAGCAGCATTCGGATCGAGCTTAAGCCTTACTCATGTGGCGAGAGCATTCTTTTTCTCGCGTTCAAGCTCCATAGTGAAGCAGGTACATAGGTGTTGTGCTCCGAAATGTGCAACAGATTGCGCGGATGCAGAATACATCATAATCTTCAAAAATGATAAGCAAAAAAACCAGAACCAGAGCCTGAATAAAACGGCGGATGACTTCCGCTCAACATATTAGGTCGTGAAGAAAGTTCTTGCGCTTTTCGACCTTGATTTTCAAATGCCTGTATCTCGGCTCATTCGAAACCTTTTTGATTGGAGTAAAGACTGTTAGAATCCACAAACCTCCAATAATAGCTGCGTTGAATCAGCCCGGTAGTGCAGAATACTGGAGCTCTAGAGACGATGAACCCGGCGGAGGTCGTTTCCGCATCATGTTGGTTTTTGAAGCATAACTCTTTGGAGAAGCTATCCAGGTCATCGAGAAAGTGACATTATAGGCAAAGGTCTACCGAGTAATATGGTCGCAGGACTAATTCGTAGCTCAGCTGGTTCCACTTCTGCAGGGTTGGTTGTGGGATGTGCGTCCGAGCTACCTGTCAGGGATGAGTCTGTTCCTTCATAATGAAGAATGCTGTTTGATTGTGCTAGAATTCTAGGATCATTTCGAAGTTTGTCAAGTGTACTTCCCCACATTAACAGTTCCACCTGGTTCCGAAAGCTAGACCAGC